TACTAATACTAAATAATGTGGCTTTATCTGCCTTGTTGTCCATTCACAGTTAGTCATCATGTTGGGAATAAGAGACTCTTTCAGCATTGCTGTCTCTGCCAGAATTGCTCAATTAGTCTGCCCTGGTCAACACATTGTTTTGGTATCCTGCTTTGTAGGTACTGGGCTGCTATGGGTTAGCAGGAATGGAGCTGTCCTTGGTGCTACAGGTTTCAACCCCCTCCCCACACACAAACACACATGCCCTACCGAATCCAGTAATATCCAAACTGTGTACAGTGGCATTTGAGTCCTTTATGAGAAAACCACTGTCATGGTGTGAGAAACATGTTACAGCTAAGTAGCTAAAGGTGACTGTGAACTCTATAAGATCTAACTCCAGAAAGGGTTTCCCAAGGTCCGTTGCTTGGTGTTGTAACCTCCAGCCAGTCTCCACTGGAAGTAGGTGATTTTGCTTCACCCTTGTATCAGGTATTATTGAACCATTCAATTACTCCCAATGCAGGTACACAGGGACTTTCGGCACCCTTAGAGGAGTGGTCTATTGCATCTCTGCATGAATCACTGTCCTGGGCAATCAGGAAACAGTTAAGAGGAGTGAACTGCAGAAGTACAAGGGGAGTGTTCCTAAGATGCTGGATAATTCTTACCTTTATATATTCCAAAATAAGCTAGTGTAAACTGTAAAGGTAAAGGTAAAGGTTCCCTTGCTTGAAAGCCAGTCGAGTCCGACTCTAGGGTTGCGGTACTCATCTCCGTTTCAAAGCCGAAGAGCCAGCGCTGTCCAAAGACGTTTCCGTGGTCATGTGGCCGGCCTGACTAAACACCAAGGCGCACGGAACACTGTTACCTTCCCACCGAAGTGGGACCTATTTATCTACTTGCAATTTCTTGCTTTCGAACTGCTAGGTTGGCAGGAGCTGGAACTAGAGATGGGAGCTCACTCCATCATGCGGCACCCGGGTCTCGAACTGCTGAACTACTGACCTTCCATAGCCTGCAGTTCAGCGTCTTAACCAGTAAAGTGTGCATTTTTAAAAACAGCATGGTTCAGCCAACAGGAGTTCAGAAAACAATTCTTAATTCTAAATCACTACAATAAATCCTTTTTATGTCTGGATGGAAAATGCTTACCAGAGCTTCCTTTGACCACAGCTAAAGTACTTCTTGCAATAGTGTTTCTTTTGCTGCCACTATACACTCACAACTTAATTTGCAAAGTGGCTGGTGTGCCATGGCAGAAGTTCTTCCTGGAAATTCCTCCCTGACCTGAAAGTTTCATGTCCTGGATCACAAAAAAAAATATGGGGGGTTGCCTTTACTCAGATGTGATGCAAAGATGCTGTGTGGATTCTCAGAGAGATAGCCATGTCACAGAGGGTTAGGAGTACAATGTATTCCAGAAGTTGCACATGATCTTTTTGGGCTCTGTACAAATGGGCCAACCGTCTTTCATTCTAAGGCAGCATGCAGATATTTTGGTGCTGACCTTTGTGTAACTCTGCACTCCAGACTGTGTATGGGCTCAAACAAGTCCAGGCATGTTTTGCTGTGTGTGTCTTATACAGGGAACCATCTCAGTACAAGTCCAGACTTGCCCTGCTGCTGGTGAAGCCCAGATTTGTGCTATGCCAGGGAGCCGTTCCTCAATCACATGATGCCTTCTAGTTTCCAAAATGCTTCACCCACCCCCACCCCTTGAAATTACCTTGCATGCCCTTCAATATGCTGGAATCCAAAGAGTGAGCTGGTGCCTTGGCGTTTGAGCTGTGCTCAGCTGTTTCAGGAAAGCACCTTCCCAGTTTCATTCCACTGACATAATTTACAACCTCGTTATCTCCCATGCTTCTCTTTATTACCCTTGATTGATACCAGGCTGCTTGCCAAGGAGCTGGGAGCAAGAAAAACAAGAACTGTGCAAATTGGATGATCCAGGAAAGTGAAAGTGGCACAGTCTCCCACATGGGTGTTTTATTGTTTTGAAGAGGTATAAAGATCAGGGTTGAAGCTGCTTTATACTGAGTCAGAACCTTGGTTTACCAAGGTCAGTATTGCTTATTCTGACTGGCAGCAGCTCTCCAGGGTCTCAAGCAGAAGTGCTGGAGACTGAACCCAGGACCTTCCCCTGTTCCATTGAGCCGTGGCCCCTCCATACCAGACTTCATGCTCTGCCCAACCTCAAAAGCTCTAGGTCTTAATGGAAATAGAAAAGACAGGCTGCATTGGTGTTATCTATTAGCAGTAATTCATTAGAAATCAAAACCATAAGGATTTTATATTCAATATTATCAGTACAAGAGGGTATTTAAAATCTATTTTAAGCTTCTGTATTTTTATGTTAATATCCTTTTTCAGAAGTTTTCCCAATAAGTTTGTCTTTAGGATGTTTGCCGCTGCATAAATATCACTGTAGACATGGCAAACTATGTAATTTGCCATGTTAAATGGGAACTGTCCTTCACCCAAGCATCCATCCTTAAGACAAACATTCAAGTTTTCCTAGAGATTTTGCACTAACGGTGTGCCAAAAAAAGAGGGGCTGATCTGATTCTTTTGTCATTTTAAAAACTTAATCAAGCCTTTTGGTTACTGGAATAAGTAGTCATAATTGGCTGCGATCACACACACTAAATAATGCACTTCCAATCCACTTTCGAAGCACTTTTATTTAATTTATTTATTTAATATACCGCCCTCCCCATAACCGGGCTCAGGGTGGTTTACATCAATTTTAGTATAATACTATTAAAACAATCATTTAATAACAGATTAAAACAGCAAAAAATCCAGTTGGAAATTGCACTGAAAGTGGATTTAGTGTGTGTGACCACAGCCTAAGTTTACAAAACACATCTTCTCCTTACCTTTTTTCTCCACCTGATCAGAAGAAAATTCTGATGGATTATACCCATCAACTGCCAAATTTTAAATTGACTTTTTTACTAGTTTATGGGTGTTTTATAACGTTTTCCCCTTCTTTCCCAAGATATTAAAAACAGGGATTGGAGAGCCTATTTTCAAACCAATACAGAGCCCATGGGCAGAGAGAGTTAAGCCCTGCTCTTCCCCCTTGCCTCATTTTATCTTACTACATTCAGTTAATTGATTTCCACACTTATCTTCCAATCCAGCTCACTTTTGGAAACAGATGCTTCAGATAAAGTAACACAGTGAGGCAAGTTAGGTAGAGCAGTATTTACTTACCCTTGTCCACAGAGTATATTTTTTGCAACACACACACCTTATTCAGGATTGGGTGGGTTCATATCAGATGCTCCTATGCACAGACACAACAATTAGAGAATTCGTATTGGTGTGCAGATAGGCTAACAGTTCTGGTTGGTCACTGTCTCCATCAGGCCCATATCCACAGAGTCATTCATGCTTTCCAGGGGATATTAAACATGAGTGAACCACCAAAATAATAGTCAGATCTCATCTAATGAATTAGTTAGAAAATATTGGAAAGAATTTTATTTTTGAGGTATGGTTGGGGCAGATTTTGTTGGTTAAGTAACGCATACAAATGCGCTCATCAAAAAAGCTCTTGCTCCCTGTTGAGTGTACCAGTTCTCTTGCTGGGCAATGGGAAAGGCTATTTTCTCAGTGGTATTACAGCACTGGGACAACATCCATAATCAGTTTTTCTAAGCTGGAGATGCTGCATTTCCAGGTGAGGTTTCAAAGAAATGAACAGAATGCAAGCCATTTCATTGGAACCCACTTCATCAAATATGTCAGTTTATATGCATTGTCAACAATGAAAACATACAAGCTGAACAAGTTTTATGTACACACTTCCCGCCCCCCAACCCGCTTTTAGTAAATACCTTCCTCAAATAAAGTGACTTCCTTAGGTTACACCTAAAGTGCCCGTCCATGCTTGTAGTCATAGAAACTAAAGGGGAGATGTCTGCTTCAGTTCACTTAAGGAAAACAATAGGGAACAAGGGTGAGCAGAGCTGGGTGGGTGGAGAAAATGGCACTGCCGCTTTTTAAAGGGCAACAGCTGATTCTCCCCCTTCATTTCTAAAAGAAGTTCCTCTTGAAATGGAAGCTATAATGTCACAAATTTCAGAAGTTCTCCCCAGTCCCAAGAAATTATTAGGTGGGGCTACTCCCTGGCCCTGGGCCCCACCCTAGCTACAGCTCTGAGTAGGACCCAACCAGCAAGAAAGCGTCAAACGGCCCTGGCCCTGTTTTGACTGGAGAGTGTAAACAACAGCTGTTACTGTACACATCACAGTGATGTGTACATCACTCTGGATTCTTGACTAAAGGAGACTGGATCCTTCCCAGATGCTACCACTTCAGACTGTCGATGGGAGTCATATCTTTGAACAGTGTCCTCGTCGCCGCCCCTCCCTCCTCTAGTACTCAGGAAGGAAAGTTTAGCAAGGCCCTTTCTTTTGTCCGTAGTCGACTGCACAGCGTAGAAAAATAAAAAATCCTGTCTTGTGGTATTTTAAAGACAAGCAAAAACTCAGCAGCAGCAGCTACGCTGGACTAGAGCCCGCTGCTTCCGATGCAAGGCGTGGGCCTACTGCTCACTATCTGCAGACATTTTATGGAGGTGAATGAAAACAGATCGAACGGTGTGGGGGTCAAGAGGTCATGAAATGCAAGGGCTGCTGAAAACGACTGCGAAACGAGCAGTCCCCGGGGACAAGGAACTCAGAGACCGGAGTCAAATGTTGCCGTTTCTTCCAGTGCCCCAAGAGGCCTGTTAATATTGGCGGCAACGGTTCCGCTAAGCTGACCCACAGGCGCGCGCGTTTAAAAACAGGAGCCCGCCATCCGCCCTGGCTCAGTGCCGGGGGGGGGGGCCGCGAGCGCCTCACGCCTTCGCTCGCACCAGTTCGCCCGAGAGCTTCGCGCGGGGCGCATGCGCGCTCCCGCTGCCTCTAGGTTCCCTTGGCAAAGAGGCGTGGCGCCCGAGCCAACAGCTGCCGTCGGGCCCCGCCTCCTCGGAGCGGCGAAAGACCCGGAGGCTCGGAGCCCCGGCGGCGCAGGAGGCGGAGGAGAAGCCGGGCCGCGAGCGTCGCAGGCCGGGGCGCAAAGGTGGCCGGGGCAGCCTGGCTGGTGCCTCGAAGAAGGCAAAGGTCCCCCGCCAGGAAGTCCAAAGGCAAAGGGGCCCGGGAACTGGCGGCGGAGAAAGGGATCTGCTGCTGCTGCCGCCGCCGCCTCCAGCGCCCGGAGTTCAAGCCCCGGCGTGGAACCCGGCGGGCGGGGGCTGGCGCTGCCACAAACGGGCTTCCCCGTCTCCTGATGCTGCAGGTCGAGCATGGAGCCAGCCGGGAGCAACCGCGGAACAGACCAGCTCGCCACGGCTGCCGCGCTCGGGGACCTGGAGGCGGTGCGGAGGCTCCTGGACGCGGGCGCAGACCCCAACGCCGTCAACTCTTTCGGCTCCGCTTTGTCCCCGGTCGAATGCTGCGTTTCTGGCCAGGCGTGCCAAGTTCGTGGGACTTGTCCCCGCGTAAACACGCCTCGGCTCCGGCTGCTGCAGCTCGATCCCAGCCATGTCTTCTCGGAAGCTGAGCCCCAATTTAATTAAATGGGCCAGAGGCACCAGAACATGGGGGTGGGGGGACGAAAGCAAACCCAGCAACACTTGACCAAGGTGGTCTGACACCACCACCACCCCGCCGCCGCCGCCGCCAGATCACAGTGATCGGGAAACACTCAAGCAAAAAACAACAGCCATGTTTTGGCAGTTCAGCCCTTTCAGGAATGATAAGGTGGAGGTGAGAAAAACAACAACAGTATCCTAGAAACTATCTGCACAGGAAAGCTCACGCCTCGAATGAAACTTTGTGGGTCTTAAAGGTGCCACGCTGGGCTAGAACTTTGTTCTGCTGCTTCAGACCAACACGGCTGCCCCCACTTGGATCGACCCTAAACGGCATTACTCTCACTGAGCTCGAGGGTGCCGCTCTGCTTAGGATAAACTCAATCGAATAAAAAGCTCAGAGAAATAAAACCGGAGTCCAGAGGCACGAAGAACGTTTACACTGGAAGGCTGTAATCCATGGACATGGGGGGGGGGGCAATTTTAGGATTGCGCTGTAAAAGATTTCTTTCTTGCTGCTGCTGTTCAGCCGCATGCATGACTGCGATAAACTTATTGTGACAGCATGGAACCATTGATTGATTGATTTACTGAAAGATTGATTGATTGATTGAGACCATTAACGAAGCAGGTCTAAAACCGCACCTGCGAAAGAGGCAAAGTTCAGTTTAGACCGACTGCAGTGCCGGATTTACGCATAAGCTAAATAAGCTACAGCTTAGGGCCTCGCAATCTGCTGGGGCCTCGAATAAAAACACAATATAAAAAATGATTTCAAATATTAAAAAGGCGTATATATTTTAAATTTTTCTGAGACCAGCTGATGTAATTTAAAACAGTAGGGGGCCTCTGGGTTTTGTATAGTTTAGGGCCTCAGCAAGTTTAAATCCGGCCCTGCCCGACTGCCTAGGTCTGGCCCTGTGTTGGGTATTTGCATGTTGAAAACACTCAATGTGTATGCATGGGGTTAAATGTCTGTTCTGTTGTTACAGGAAATCACCTGTCTTTGTGTTAGCCAATGTTAGCTCAAGTCTGTTAGCCCGCGAAAGCATCCCTGTTCTAAGAGTTTGATTGGAAGTGAAGTGTTGGTAACTTTGCATTTTATGAGCCCTCTTCCCGTCTTTGTTCGCCTTGGAGTAGAAGCACGTTGGAGGGCCATCTTTTTCCAGTTCTTCTAGTCTAGAGAGGATGTAGCTGATTTAGCTCTCTGTTGTTTTCTCAATAAAAACACAATATAAAAAATGATTTCAAATATTAAAAAGGCGTATATATTTTAAATTTTTCTGAGACCAGCTGATGTAATTTAAAACAGTAGGGGGCCTCTGGGTTTTGTATAGTTTAGGGCCTCAGCAAGTTTAAATCCGGCCCTGCCCGACTGCCTAGGTCTGGCCCTGCCACCGGGCTCCCCACTTCAGGCGCCGGTTCGGACCAGGCAATCGGACTATCCAGCCAACGCCAACACACCCGGCGAGGAACAGCGGCGATCTCCGCGGAAAGATTCAAAGGCAGAGGCCCGTCTCCTCTGCGCTGGGTCCGCCGGAGCCTGCCGCGAAAGGCGGTCGGTAAATGCTTCGAATTGACCAGCAAATGAATGCACGGGTGGCTGCGAAGGAGGCGGACGGATTGGGGTTGCGGGGGGGGCAGGGTTTTCTCCCCCACCCCCCCAGCAGCCAGATCGCCGTCAAAGGCTAAGAAAATAAATCACCCGTCGAACCTGAAGCTTCGCCTGCACCCCCACTGAAATCGGTCGTGTCCAAATTGACTAACGTCCTGTTATAGCCAGACCTAGCAACGCCAGCCTGATATCGACATAACCCACAGGAGGCTGGGATCGGGGACTGAATAAAAGCCAACGGGGGAAGCTTTATAAGAGGACTTGGGTCCACCTCTCTGGAGAACTCGACTTCCTTCCCCCCCCCCCGTTTTTAAAAAGTTACTTGTTTGTTTGTTTATTGTAGCTTCTTAAACAAGACGTCCCTGGCAGAGGTCTTGGGTACAACAAGCAGACTACCACAGTTTTTTGGAGGGGCGGGAATCAGCCCTCACAGAAAAGTAAAGTTTTATTCAGGGTATAAGCTTTCCTGTGCAAGCACACTTCTTCAGATACAGTGAAAGGGAATTTCCTCAACCACTATATATAGGAAGTGAGAGAGAAAAAACTGTCTTGACTCTAATTGGCCCTTCCTGGCAACTATACCCCCCAGCCACAGACCCACCCAACTATACCTCCACCCTCTTTCTATATGTAAGCGCTGAGGAAATTCTGTTTCACTGTATCTGAAGAAGTGTGCATGCACAAGAAAGCTTATACCTTGAATAAAACTTTGTTGGTCTTAAAGGTGCCACTGGACTCAAACTTTGTTCTGCTGCCTCAGACCAAGATGGCTGCCCACCTGCATCTGAAATGTTACAAGGAAGCCTGCAAGCTTTCCTATTCACACTCTTCCACAGAGCTCTTTCTGCCCTTGGATGGTTGTTTTATTTTGCTTAGCCACCAGCCTGATGAAGACGTCTTTTGAACTCCAAGGACCCCTTGTTTCTTCAGAACTTCTCAAGTGGTCCTTTTCTCTTCTGAAAGTCACCTCATCTATTTCTGTCATAAATAGATTAGATTGAAATTAAGATGTGTTTTTTTTAATCTATTTAAACTTTTGGATCTAACTTCTCTTGCTGCATGGCTGGCGGCTGAGCTATTAACAATTCAATCCTAAACACGTATACCAAGAAGTAAATCACCAGGACTTCAATGGGACTTACTCGCTAGTAAGCATGTTTAGGATTGCAGCCCAAATCCCTTAAGGTGCAGCAAACGTCCCTTCTGATCCCCTGGCTCCTGAACTGCCTTTTAATATAGATCTGAAATATTCCTATCGTGGTGTTCCTTATCTGTAAATCCAAAGCTACTTAAATCAGTCAGGACATGTTCACATCCATCCTGTGTTGCTTGCAGCCAACTGGCAACAGGACACTCTCTGTAGCATGTACGTGGAAGGAAAGAAGTGTTTGTTTTTATTTATTTATATCCCGACTTTCTCCCCAATGGGGGCTCAAAGCAGTTTACATCCTTCTGTTCTCTGCCATTTTATCCTCACAACAACTCTGTGGGTCAGAAAGAGCAAGATGGATAGTTTATTAGTCTGTCTGTAGCAGTAGAGAAGAGCAAGAGTCCAGGAGCACCTTAAGGACTAAACAAAATTTGTGGCAGGGTAGGTAGGGAGCTTTCCTGAGTCACTGCTCACTTCTTCAGATACAGCTACACATTTTGTTAGTCTTTAAGGTGCTCCTGGACTCCAAGCTATTTTCTGTGGGGCAGGTTAGATTGTGTGACTGACCCAGCAAGCTTCTATCGCACAAGAATTCAGAGGTCCCGCAAAAACCTAACTGACTCTCCATTTGCAGTTCCCTTCCTAAGGCAGGCAAGACAAACTATTTGCTTTTAAATACATTCAGTTGTTGTGACGGTGTTGTGACAGAATGAAGTAAAGCGATTGCTGTATGGGGTTGCCACGGATCTGTGGCATTCCCTTCCACTGGATGGACCTTATCTAGAGTTAAAATAGAGTTGTAATGACTACTCAGTTTATGGTTGTGATCCGCTTAATTGGAAGTGGGGGGGGGGGATAAGCGGCTTTACATTGTATTTAAAATCGAGGTGCCTAACCTTGGCTGCGATCACACACTAAATAATCCAAATTCAATCCATTTTCAGTGCACTTTCCAACTGGATTTTACTGTGTGAAATGGCAAAATCCAGTTGGAAAGTACATTGAGAGTGGATTGAAAGTGGTTTTTTTTTGTGTGTGTGTGTGTGTATGCACATGATCGCAGTCCTTGTAAGTAAAATGGGATTTAGCCCGTTTTATGGGGGGGGGGGAGGAATTGTACCCCGGATTTTTAAAGCGAAGTGGCAGAGATGTTCAAACAAGAAAGCGATTCTGAATATCTTGCTGTGCGTGCACGACCCTATTAGTGATGCATTTAAGGGTTATAGACTTTTGAATGATTTCTCATCTAATGCCACTGAGAAGGTGGCTAAGTTTCTTTACTCTGCTATAAAGGGACGCCAAGGGATCTCACAGAAATAATCTTATATTTACACTGATGTATATGTATGTTGCAGTTTTAACTTACCTTTTAAACTGTATTAACTTGTATCGATTTTTTCCATGCCAATAAAGGCTACTTAACTTAGTGATCTCAGCCCCTCCCCCCCATCTCAAAACACTTCACAAACTTAGTGAGTGGAGTTAAAGAATGTTCTGCCATCTTCGCATAGGAGGAAGTTCCAAGAAATAACATTTCCGGATCTCTCTCTCTCTTTGCCTTGAATTGGGTCAAAACTCCCTGCGAAATTGAAGGAGCAAACGAGCCCCCCCCCCCCCCAGACCCCGGGCACCAAGCGAAGCGAGGATTTTTTATTTTTTATTTTACCGGTTGAGTCTGGTGGTGAAAGGATCCCGATGCCGGAAAACCCTCTGAGAACCTCGGCTGTTCTCAGAGGCCTCTTGGTGTGAAAAACGTTTTGTGAAAAACGTGGTGCCCAAGGGAGCGATCTGGCCACAGACCCCCCTCCCCCGCGTTTCCTTTTGTCAGAGCGAGACTGCAATCCTAAAAATCACTTACCTGGGAGTAAATCCCATCAAATAGCACGGAATTACTTCTGAGACAAGGGACTGCACTGTTGAACGCCTGCCCACGCTAGCTCAGAAGCAAGACCCACTTCAAGGCGTGTCTGGTCGCAACTCTCTGAACGCTTCCTCGAGGCTGAAATCGGTCGCGTTTACTCAGGGGGGATTCGGCTGGGTGGCGCCCCCTCTTTTCCTCTCGGTTTCACCATCCGTTTGTGAGATCTCCTTCAACGACATTAGAAGCAGGTTTCTTTAAAAAAACAAAACCGAAATATGAGAAAGTACATTGACAGCGCAGTCCGAGGAAGAAGGGGGGAAACAACGTCCCTGGGAGTAAGGCCCGCCCAGGATACCTAAGCAGGACCTGAGCAGACCCGATGAGAAGGGCGTCGTACATTACCAAGGTTATTGGGACTGCAATCGATGCTCCTCTCAGGGCTTTGCTGCGACAGGGAAAGTTGGGGGGGGGGGGGTTGGGTGATAGGGAGATATTGAAAAAATGGTATTTGGCGGAGATAATATAGCCCAGCAGAGCCTGAGTAAAATAATTCAGACTGAGAGTCCATGTGTGATTAAAATATAAAGTTTTTACTAAATTCTAGCATGGGAAAGGGTAACTGGGATGAAAATAACAGAGCAAAATCGGCTACATCCTTACTCTACAAAGACAAAACTAGAAGAGAGAGATTATGGCTGCTCTCCTTCTTCTTCAGAACACCAAACAAAGACGGGAAGAGAAGCCATAAAATGGTAATATACCTTGACACTTTAGTCCCAATCAAATTCCTAGATCAGGGAGAAAACTCCCGGGCTTTCTACAGCTAAAGAACATTGGTTACATGAGAAACATGTGACTTCCTGTGAGTAACATAAACAAACATTTAACCGCAGATATACTGAGTGTTCGACATGCGCTATGTGAGTGAGGAGGTGGAGGTGGTGGGTGGATATTACAACATCGTATATATTAGTATACTAGCAGTATTAAGTGTGTATAATATACATATATGTTCAGGTGGGTAGCCGTGTTGGTCTGAAGCAGCAGAACAAAGTTTTGAGTTCAATGGCAACTTTAAGACCAGCAGAGTTTTATTCAATGTATAAGTTTTTCTGTATAGGCACACTTCTTCGGATACATTGAAGTGTGAGTGTGTGTGTGTGTGTACACACACTGTATATATATACACATACATATATATATATAATGCAGTATAATATATCACACACACACTATATTATGCAATATAGTATAGTTCAGAGGAGTCCAATAGCTTCTTAAAGATTAACAAAAATTATTTCAGATTCAGAGCTCAGGAAATTCAGGCTGAAGTAAACTTGGTTAGTCTTGTAGCATATTAAAAACCAACAAGGCCACCCTTCTGATATATGTGATACTGTCGTTAAAAGAATTATAACCATTTATAGTTATTTGTTTGTGTGTAGGCTGTGTATACTAACCACGCCTGTCGCATTGTGTGCAAATAGATTTATGTGTTATGACTTCAGATATGGTACAGTCTTTTCAGATGTCTCCCTTTTGCATGTGCGTTCTAGCAGTGGGAAATGAAGGAGTAAATAAGCATCCCCCAGGAAGTCGGTGCTTTAAAAACAAGCGACGTGGTCGTGGGGGGGGGGGAGGCTCGAGGGTCCGGGAAGCACCGTTATTCTTCTTCTTTAAACGTTGCTGGGTGGGTGGCCACCGCTCTCCGTCTAGCCTCCCTCCCAAGACGGGTTGGGGAGGGGATACAGTGGACGAGGAGAGGCCGGCCGGCGTCCGCAGTCCCGAGCTCTGAAGTCCCCGGGACGAATGTCCCTCGCGGACAAATCCGAGGAAATCTCCAGCTGCCTCCAGGCAGTGGCCGCTGCTGCGGGAACGCAGCGACGACCCTGGAGACTCTCTCAGTCCCGCCCCGGCTTTTTTCCCCGACCTTCGGCTTCGCTCTTCGGGCTGCCGTTCCGAGTGACGCGGAGGCACTTCCAGCCGGGCTCTCTGGCCGTTTCCCTGGACTGTGAGCGCTCAGTGGGCGAAGGAGCCCCGTGGTGGAGGACGGCGGGCCTGCCTTCCAGGAAACGCGCCGGAGGGCGCAGGCTTGGCCCGCGCGGGCTTCGGAGGCAGTTCTGTCCTCCCTCGGGGTTTCGGCCCAGCGGGGCCTCCGCGGGCGAGCCCTGCCGGGGCGCGCCGGAGCCAGCCCCTCGCCAGGGCTGAGTGCGCGCGGCTTCCAGCCTCTTCTCCTCGGCGTCCTGCTCCCCCGGCCCGGCCCGGCTGGCGGGCGCGCCGGCGGCATCACCAGACGGGAAGGATCCCTCCCCCGGCCGCTTCTAGAGCGGGAGGCGAGTGGGCGACCAGTCCGTGAGGGGTGCTGCTGCCGCCGGGCTTCACAGTGCGGACCCTCCGACCACTCGAGCAACTCCGTGGTGCCGCCAGGGCTGGAAAGGGCAAGCGACCGGAATCCGGCTCCGGCGGCAAACATCGAGCGTCAGCAGGGTTCGCCCTCCCGCCCGCCTCCGGTCCCGGCGGGCTCCCGCCCCTCGCTTCCTTGTCTGCTTCTCTTCCCATCTTCCTCACCCCTTTGGCCAAACACGCGCTGTTTGTCGAGGCCCTTGACAAAACTGAACCCCCTGGCGACCGGCCTTTGGCAAACAAGCTTTTATATCCATCCACACACACCCATATGATATCATGGTCAGTATTTGGGTCTGATGAGATTAACGGGTTTTTCTTTATTAGTACGGGGGGGGGGGCGGTTTGCCATTCCCTTTCCTAAGTGAAGCGAGCCTCGGATTCCGAACAGAAGCGCCACCCCTTTCCCTGTCTCCCGCCTGGACATCCCAGCTCTCCCCCTGGAAAGTCGCTTGCCTTCGCACCAAAGGGGCGCCGAGTCAGGGTTTACCGGGAGAGTCGCCCCCCCCCCCCTTCCCTGCAGCCATATAACTGAGCCACTGTGGCCTACGAAGTTATCGTGTTCGACTAGAAGCGGCCAGACCTGGGTTCAAGACCCTTCTTGCTTTGAACATTGCAGAGGGGCCTCCAGACAATCACTCTCTCTCTCTCAAGCCTCACCTCCCTCACAGAACAAAGTTTGAGTCCGGTGGCACCTCTGAGACCGACAAAGTTTTGGGTCCCAAAGGTGCCACGGGACTCACTCAAACTTTGTTCTGCTGCTTCTGCCCAACACGGGATCCTCCCTCCCGGAGTTGTAGTAGTGACAAACTGCAGGAGGGAAGAACCACGCTAAACTCCTTGGAGAGAAGGCTGGGATTAAAATACATTAAATAAAGAAACCGGGGCCTGTTGCTCACGTGCAGTTTTAGCGTTGCCAGCTGTCTGGAGAAAAGGAGTCCTGTCCCTTTAAGAGAGGTTTCCAGAGAATGTTATTGACCGCGCGCTGTTAATTACCTCCCTGCCACATACTAAGCCTCTCTTTTTCCTCCGTGGCCTTTTGGCGCTCCTAGCCTGACACTGATGATAGCTCTGGTTAGTACTTGAATGGGAGACCGCGGAGGAGACCCAGGGTGGCTACGGAGAAGCAGGCAATGGCCAACCACCTCAGTTTGTCTCTTGCCTCGAGAGCCCTGCAGGGCCACCCTAAGACGGCACTCTCCACCACCAGTCAGTTGTCAGTCAGGAATGATGTGGCAGAGTGAACCATATACCAACTCCACGCTGTAAGCATTTTGGGCTTCCCCAGCATGTCAAAACTTTCTATCACTATGCTGGTTTTCAGTCAGGTGGGTGTTTGTTTTTGTTTGGTTTGGAGGGAGGGGTCTTTCATGCAAAGGCACATTCAAAACTGGAAACCACCACTTGCAATTAAGACCAATTGTAGGAATAATACTGAAGGAACAATATTTAAGTAGCACAAACAAAATAATCCCTAAATAATCCTTACATTTGAATGATTAAGAGCAGAGCTGCAGTGACTCTGATAAGAGGAGGGGCGGTTGGGTAAACGGAAGCTACTGAGGAGCGCACAAGAGAGCAGGCCTAGGCAGGTGTACTCCTAAGTAAATCCCCTTTATTCTGTGGGGTTTACTCCCAGGACAGGTCGCTTCGGATTGCAGCATGTGGCGGCTTGATCCGGTGACGAACCGTCTCCAGCGCTAACTGCGGGACTTCTTTCTCTCTCTTCCTTCTCCAGGTCATGATGATGGGGAGCCCCAGCGTGGCAGAGCTGCTGCTTCAGAGAGGAGCCGACCCAAACCGGCCGGATCCATGCACTGGCTCGCTCCCAGCCCACGACGCGGCTCGGGAAGGCTTTCTTGATACCCTGCAAGTGCTGCGCCAAGGGGGCGCCCGCTTGGATCTGAAGGACCGGTGGGGCCGCCTCCCCCTTGACCTGGCCACGGGGAACGTCCACAGCCACGTGGTCAGTTACTCTGCTGAAGCAGAGAACGCCCCCTAGGAAAAGAACTACGAGTTTGAATTGCACTGGGTAGGCAAGAAGCCCTGCCTTTGACTAGGTCTCTCAGAGAAGGAAGCCAGAGTTGCAGAAACAGAGGGCAGCTCTGGCTAGACTGGACAATTGTCCTCCAGACTGCAGATGGCGCATTACAAGTTTGCATACTCTCCCATGGGGGGGGGGGGGGGAGATTCTGCAGGTGGAAAAGTAGCTGTCCAGGAAACAGGGTTACTTTGCCATTTGTCCTGATCAGCTAGGTTTCTGCGTGTAGACATTCCTTTTCATTTGGGGAGTCATCAAACATGAGAATCTCCCCTTCTGCATCTAGTGCATCTAGTGCACTGTAAGAGCTGGGTTGCCAGTTGTGTTTGGTTACACAGCTCAGTTTTTGGCTCTTTGTTTGGTTTCTTTTGTTGTTCGAAGAAGGGTAATTTATTATTATTTTTCTGGGGTATGCTTAACACTGAGTAATATGTAAACAGCATTTTGATTTTATAGTACTTGGGAGAAAGGGGAAGGAGCTAGCCTGTGATCTCCCAGCTAATTGCACTATTGATGTTGCTTTGGTTTTTCATTTGCACAAAAAGACCTGTTGGCTTATACTTGAGCAAGATAAGGAAAGAATGAAGTAGGAGGGCCTTTGCAATACACTGTGTAGTGAGATTAAAAGAGTGTTTCGTCTTATTTTCCCATAAAATCTCCTTGCTCAAGATGATGCCGTCTAACTCATGTTTCAGAAAGAATAAAAGATGTAATACCTATCCTTCTCCCTTCCCTCCCCAGCATCTTGCGTATATTTATTTGGAAATAAATCTCATTCTGTTAGAATGCATTTTGTAATTAGAAAAGCAGTGAACACACTTATTTAAATGTCTGAGTTGCAGATTTATCTTATTTATCTTTGCATCTTGTTCAGGGCTTAGGCAAACAAACATTACCAATGCAGACCAAATTCACACTTGCAATTTAAAGCACTCTTCAGATTTGCTCCCTTTGTTGCGGTGCATCTACTGGGGGGGGGGGAATACATATTGTTGTTGTGCACATGTACAACAGCACAGCAGTTTAAAATGCATTTGTATTAGTCTTCTGAATCAGCTGCAGGATGGTCAATCACCTTTTAACAACCCTACCTATGACAATGGATAGGTGATTTCAGATGCCCCATATAATTTAAGGGGGGGGGAGGTTAAGCACACCTAAATCCAAATGAAATCAATACCATTAAAGGCACAGTCTGGTACTTAATCCCTATTTATTTTGATGAAAATTATGTGCATGCTTTAGTGTTCTCCACTGTGTCTATTAAAGGAATTTTTTTTAACCTGCCCTTGAAAGGGGTTCAGTGCTGATGGGGATTTAGATACACGTTTTATGCAGAAGAGGCAATTCAAGTGTTTATTGGGAATTCAGACACATTACAAAGCAATTGTGTTTAAAGGCTGTGATGCAGGTCAAAGAAAACAGGATTAATATCTCAAGCCACAGGACCATTTTTGCAGTGTGAAGCGTGTTTCTTGCAGCAAGAACTGCTGTACAATGCTTGTCTGTGCAATGGAAAAGTGGTAACAAGTGGCCAAGGCTTCTCCACCTTATTTAGAATCAAGCCACACGTGCAGTTGCACCGGGGAGAGAATTCTCATCAGTGATGTAGGGGTTAGAGGGTTGGTCTAGGATCTGAGAGACCCCCACCTTTGTATCGCCACTCTGCCATAGCAGCTCTCAGGGTGATCTTAGGCCAGTCACACACTCTCAGCCTAGCCCACCTCATAGCGCTGTTATGAGATTAAAATGGAGGAGAGGAAAATGTTGGGTTATTCAAGGTAGCAGAGCAAAAGAAGCAAGCAGCACATGTGTATATTAGCTTTAAAAATAAAGTTTACTGATTACTCATGGGGAAAAGGAACTGGGAGTTTAAAACAAGCACATCCTGTCTAGCATCTCTAACCTACATCTCTCTCTAACTGTTACCTCATGTGTGTGTGCCACAGGCAAGACTTAGAACAAAAGGCAGTAAAACTTTCTAAGCCTTCACCCCGGGACACCTTCAGATCTATTGATCAGCCAGTAGACAATCATTATGCATATTGGCACCTAGACTCTGGCAGGTAAGACATACAGGCTACTCTATAGGTCCTAAGGCTATCTTGACTAGGAAATTAGCATGCATGAGTAAACACATTAATTCTTTCATGACATCAGGAAAGGAACTTCTCATATCCCAACAGACAATCATGTTGTAAGCTGCTCCAGGGTCCCACTGGGGAGAAAAGGAGGATATAAATGCCTAAATGAATGTAAATACACATGTCGATACCAAGAATGACCATTCGTGCTCCACATCCCTGACAGCAGGGCTCAAACCAACACTGTCCTTCTATACAATATGAGAACTGTAGTCATCCTTGGGTATGGTTAGAAGGCACCCAACACTGCAACCTGCAATTAAGCTGTCCTGGAGCTGGCCAGTACCCACAGGATCTGGCAGCCCGTCTCCACTGCCTTGAGTTTCATGAAGGATAATATATAAGATAAATACTAAATATATATATAGGATAAATATTATACTAATTATAGCTTGTATTGGAGTAGCTTGCTGTGCCAGTGCAGTTTTCCACAGCACCTACAAGGCCAGACTAACATGACCCAACAATCAGAGTCTTAGTGGAGAGATTACTGCTGGCGGTCGTTCCAGGATCCATAATGAAAGCCAATGGCACTCAGTTTGGGGTTAGTAGGTAATCATAATCTACTGCCAGATGGGATTGTCTTCTAGAAAGTAACCCTTGGGTTAAAAAGCACAAAAGCAGTGCAGAGACAACCATGGGCCTTACTTAAGGTCATGCTACTTGCAAATGGCAGTCCATCCAGCAGACTAGCGTTGTTGATGCCGAAGCCCATTCATTCAAAAGGAAGTCCCAGAAAACTCAGTGAGACAACATACTTGGAGTTTTTCCATTATGCACACCCCATACTGCAGCAAACATGAAACAGAGTCTGGGGGGGTACCTTAAAGACTTGCTCCAAGTCTGCATAGAATTTCAGCCTTTGTCTAGATCACATAAGATTTTGTGTTGGGTTGACAATACTGTTTTATAATTTAACATAGATGTTTCTACTTTATCAAAAGTTGTAGATTTCGAAAGTCTTCACGGAATGCCCCTAAGAGGATAACAGCCTGACATTGTCATAAATTATGAACCCTCACACAAAACAAGAGTTATCTGTTTATCCAAGCCTGTTTCTTTCAAGTAGCTAACTAAATGAATCAGAGAGGGAATGCTAACATCTGTTATTATTATCGAATGATATAACATTTTAGCTAACAGCAGAATAGCAAAAGACTTTTTTCAGGAGTACCAGATCTAAAAACAGGTAACAGCTAACAAATTGATTTAAGAATATAATCCTAAACAGTGTTCTAAAGCCATTGATCTCAGTGGGAAACCTGCCTGCCTAGAGTGCCCTTAGGGAGATTTAACAGTCTAGCCCAAGAGATCTCAGATGCCCCACACAAACAAAGGTTTCAATATGTATCAAATCCATACAGCTGAAAAAATGTGCTGGAACCATACAGAACGTATTGAGATAATTGGAAACTAGAATCAGTTTGGCAACGTCTTGTCCAGGCTTGCATGAAGGCAAACAGAATGCATCATAATTACTTAACAAAAAGTACTAACTTCACCAACTAGCCTCTTGCATATAATTAAAACTTTTGACTGACAACCATGGCAGCTGAGAGAGGGAACTGGGAGCTACAAAATTCTCTGGGCCTCCATTATTTGAAAGGGCACAAAATCATGAAGTTAACCTATCTTGTTTTCTTTCCATGTTCTTCTCACCCAGCACAATGTAAAAGCTACAAGCCTCTCTAGGATTCTTTTTTAAAACCCAGTCATTTGGGATTGGCTGCTTTTGGCAGCCCCATAACCAGCCCACAAAATAAGTATGGAACTTAATCTTAGTGAACCTTCTCCTTTCTGCCCTAGCCCACCCATCATACTACCCCCATGGACCACAGGTCTTATTGGCCCATCCTGATCCAAGTAAATTATGACCATCCTTCTGTCCTACTTGAGTTTCTATTCTCCACCTCCATGTCCCAAAGTATTGCTGGAAGGCAGGTGATGCAGCAACTTTGCTGGAGAGAGACTTCATACCACATGGAATCCCATAATGGGAGAAAAGTAAATAAGCACAACAGGAGCAGAGACACTCACTACTTGGAAACAATTAATTATACATGCAAAGTTGTTGCCACTGTAGTTATCAGAGCATCTTTTGAAAGTGTTGCAAGACCTGCTTCAGGCCTCAGTTGTCAAGGGAGATAAAGATTTTTCAACACATTTAATGAAGAGATATTCTGCTTTGCTTTGAAAGGTTATTTTTGTTACTCAGCCCAAATAGTATGGGATGGAATATAAACAAGCACCAGGCTTTCCAATTTGAGTCAGACAGTGAACTAAGCAAAGGATTTGTTCGGATCCAGTTTCTCAGCACCCGAGGACAATACCTTCCCCCTCCCTCCTGTACCTTACATAAACGCCTACACTTTGAATAAAACTTTGTTGGTCTTAAAGGTGCCACTGGACTCAAACCTTGTTCTGCTGCTTCAGACAAACCTGGCTACCCACCTGAATTTTTTTTCAAGAAGAGTACAGTCACCTTATTTTTCACAGTTAGAGTTGGAATGTCAGTTCAAGATTTTAGAGAGTCTAGGACCACCTTCCCAGTCTACTAGGAGCATATGATTTTCCACATCTTTGCCTAGTTTGTGATCGAATGGTCCACTCATTCCTGATACAGGGATTCAGCAACATTACCCATTCTCAGAAGAGTGTTGGGTGATAGTGAGATATTGAAAAAATGGTATTTAGCAGAGATAAGATGATCCAGCAGTGCCGGAGTAAAATAATTCAGACTCAGAGTTCCATGTGTGATTAAGTTTTTACTAAATTCTAAATTCTAGCATGGGAAGGGTAACTGGGATGAAAATAACAACAGAGCAAAATCTGCTACTTCCTTACTCTACAAAGACAAAACTAGAAGAGAGAGAGTATGGCTACTCTTTTTCTTCTTCAGAACACCAAACAAAGATGGGAAGAGAGCCATAAAATGCTAATACACCTTGACACTTTA